ATGTCCACGGTCCCATTCTGGAAATGATGATGCATACAATGGACTCCGGACTAGGTGCGTACCTCTAAGTCTTCCTACCAATATGACCGAGTTGCGAAAACAAGGTCGAACAAGTTCTATACAACGAAAGGAGACTGCGACCACACAAAAGGCCACAACATCTTGGTCTTCATACCTCGGAAATTTAATGTTCCAATTTCCGTATAAAGGGATACATTGACCCTAAAAGGCTATTAGATATGTTAAACAGGTTCAGGGGATGCCTTATGGCTTCCAATCCACGAATTGCCTCCGAACTAAACAAAATATTCGTTTGCAACCCTCTTTAGCTAATATACGCCCGGTCAAGCTCCTGATGGATTGCCCATTACTACTTTTTATAAGGTCTTATGCTGTTTCCCTACATGCTCATAACCTCATATTGTCTGGGAATATATATGAGCGACATGACAGGACTGCAATTTACCAGTTGGTAGTAGTTGAGCTGGGGTCCCTTGGAGTAGTAGATGAACCACCAAGCCGCGGAGCCGACGGTGGCACAGCCAACGTAGCCTCCGATCGCCATGTAACGGAAGAATAGCCAGCCTGATATCAGCGGGTCTTTGGTGCTACGTGGTGGCCGGGTCATGATGTCCAAATCTGGCGGATTGAAGCCAAGTGCTGTGGCTGGCAGGCCATCAGTAACCAAATTGACCCAGAGCAGTTGAACAGGGATTAAAGCCTCAGGCAGGCCGAGAGCAGCTGTCAGGAAGATGCTGACGACTAAGAGACAAGACAATTAGGCAAAGAGATAATGATCAATATGTTCTGATGCCATTAGTAAAAACTGGAAAAGTTGAAAGAAAGATGAAAGAAGTAGAACCAGAAAAAATTGCCAGGAAAAATAAGTACAAAGAGAAGAAACCATTTCATTTATTGTAAGACTCAAGTCAATATTTATAAATGAATATGAAAAATATCACACAAATAGGATACTCATGAGTAGAGCAGCAATCGAGGAAATAAATTAGTAATATTGCAAGCGAAACCTAAAACTTAAGCTGTAAAATGAAGGTATTAAGACAAAGAGGGTGTGGTCTTTTATATTGCCGTGGTCTTATTTTGTTGCATAGAAGTTGTTTAAACTTGTTTTCGCAATTTATTCATATTTACAGGAAGACCTAGAGGAACACGCCTTGTCCGGAGTCCATAGTATGCATGATACTTTCAAGAGTCACACCGCGGACTTTGTACAAACGTTTCACCAACATCGTCAGTGAGCCTTACTATTATTAGCACCACACTACAACCCGTCAAAGAGACAAGTGAAGCCGATTCTCCGACCAATTGTCTGCTAAACAATTGTGGTACCTGAGATATGAAGAGAAGCTGGATTTCGAAGAATTCATTATTAAATTGAAATTGGTATCCCTTTCATGTCGTTTGAGGAGGTGAGTCGATCCATATAGAATTCAAAACTTAAGGATACCACTACGCGAAGAACATACTTTCAAAAATCTAATATGATTAACTTGCCTGGCAATTCGTTTCTTGGTCTTTCTGTAAACTGATGAGTTTTGAAAAATTAGGCGAAAGAAAGATATGCGAATTATTGAGGAAATGGACTGTCAAGACAATGTATAAAGAAACACTAACGCTTTCATTAGTCATCAGCCTTCTGTTAGAGAATCTTCCGACGCCCTGTACAGATCAGGTTGTTATAAGGTTTTGTGCTCATGTGGCAATGTTTATGGGGGACAGACTTGTCGACCTATACAATCGGGGCTATCACAACACAGAACCACCTGTAAAGGTTTAAGGATTCAGAAATCGGAAGTGGCTAAGCATGTGGTCGCTACAGCATACCAAAGAGACTGGTCTAAATCTCAACGTGTTGTGGACTTTTAAGATAAACGGAATATCAGGCAGTCGATTGAAATTAGCAAAACAAAGAACATACTGAATATGAGGAATAAATGCAGGGAACTAAGTAAGAACTATCTCTGGCTTATAAATAGAATGAGAGAGAGAGAGAGAAAATGGAACAGGAAGAGCCACTGAGTAAGAGGAGTAGACTGGACTAAGCTGGAGCTTGTTTTTAAACCTAAAATTGTCAAATAACTCAGGGTTGTTGCATACACACGCAAACATGCATCTGCGAAGCTGTAACA